AGGAAACAAACCCTGGTTTCTTTTAGTGTATATTCCTAGACACAGAGACTGTCTATTTTTATTTCAGTGCTCTGATGGCATCAGCCTTCACAGGACTTTCAGGCGAGCATCAACAGGAACCCAGAGACTCTACGTTTGTTAAAGGTAAAGGATGGGTCCCACTGCAACTGCATAAATGCAAGGTAAATGAGTGGTTAGCTCAAGGTTTGCCATTTTGTTTGCAAATTGGCTTTTAAAACTTAAGGGCATTAGAGACAAGATAGCAAATGAATGAGAAGCACAAATTTCTAAGTGTGAGTACACATTTAATTACTGAAAGGGAAGCTTCAGGGGACTTTGTTGTTGTTGTTGTTTTAAAGATGGGTTTTTTGGTTTTGTTTATTACATAGATAGTAAGGAACAAAATCCCTAGATCCAATGGAGAAGTTCAAATGTTCAGATCTGGATTTTTAGGCTTGGACCGATCTCTAGTTTTGTTTCTGATCAAACATGTGTTCATTTTCTAAGCATTTTGGAGAATTAAATTAAGATTAATTTGATGTAAAGCCACACTTATATCCTTTTGTCCAAAAAAATCATCAAATGGTCTCATCAGCGCATTTTACATATTAATGGGACAGCGCTTAACAGTAATTTTAACCCCAGCTAGTAACAGGTCTCTGAAGACCATGTGGAATATAGTTAGACAGGTATACATAGAACCGATTCAGTGATATCTGCTCAAAGTAGCACCAATTTTATCTAATGCATGGAACATGGTTTCCCTAAAATGCTACAATAGCAGTTAGTCAAATTTTTCCTACTTGGCTCAGATTCTGCCTGGCCTGTTAATGGCAAAGCTCTTAGAATGATTTTCTGGTCTGGATGTTTGTTCAAAAGGTTGTTCTATAAAACTGAACCTGTTCTCAAGCCTTAAAGCACAGGAAATATTGATCATCTACGGAGGGCCATGAGCTCTTCATTGTTCTGCAGACCTTTCTAAACCCCTCTTGGGCGTGGGTGTGGGTTAAACTCTGCTAGCTTGGGAACATCTTCACCAGCTGGTCCGCTACCTCCATGTCAGGAGAGGACCCATTCAGCTTCCTTTGAGCTCAGTGGTTGAAAATTCTCACTCTCACCTCATTCCCCTGCCTGCTCACCTACAGTGGCTCTAGACCCCAGGAAAGCCGCTTTGAGGAATCCCCCCCCCACCCCCACCCCCCCCATACACACACACACTCATACACTTTCATTTGCCATTTGCTGTTCCTTCAGATGCTCTCTGGGAACCATGTTTAGGCAAAGTTCTCAGTCTACACTTCATGGGACACCCAGTCTCTCCTCTTCTCTCCAAAGGCCTAATGACCTCGGCTCGTCAGTGACCATGCACGTACTGAGAATTGTACCAACGTTCATTAAGACCACCACAGAAGTTAACAGCCTTGGGAGAAATGTTTTTCATTTGAAAATGAGCTTCTGCAAATGTATAATAAGACGAATACTCCAGTTCAGCTGGTACCAAAGAGTCCAGTCCATTCGTTCATCACAAATAGAACATCAGGTAACTGTCGTGCTACATCGCCACTCACAAGACTTTGAGCTCTGTCTGACTTGATTATGACTGAACTAAGTAGTAATTCTGAATCCACTCCAGTAACAGCTGACTTTTTCAGGAAACTATGCAATACGTGGAATGTTCTAACAAAATACAGTTATTCCAACTTGGAAATAGTGTACTCGGTACATGAATGATCCAAGATCTACTTAACATTGTATTGGTTGCCATAAAATAATTGACAACTATTGGTGACATAGGAACAAAAGGATTATGGCTGAAGTGAGGCTCCTCTCTAAATAAGGGAATGTAGGAGCTGGTCCTGAGTGGATAGATCTTACACCACAGATTGTTGATATAGCTATTGAGTTGGCATTTAAAACAAACATGTTATTCCCGAGTGCAACATTTTAAAGTGTGTGAATTGGATTCCAGTATTATAACTAATAAAGGGTCAGCCCCCAACACCTTTACTCCTGGTGAATAGAACCTGACTCCACACATGGTTCCCCTGAAGGCAATGATAGGCCTTGTGCAGGAAGGTGCCACCACTGTGAGTACATAAGGATATCAGAATCCCACCCAAAGTGATTCATAATCTTAATATGACCTATCTATGCCCTTCTATGGCCCTACCCTGGTAGTATCTGAGCACTGTCCTACAACCAAAGAAGTGTCCGCACACAAATTCCAGACAACCATTGCTCCTCCCATGGGGGTTAGACCCTAAGTCTGCAGTCCTTACTCATGGCGAGTAACACTTACTCACAAGAATAGTTCCAATGAAGACAATGGGAGTGTGTAAGTGCTACTCAATGAGCGTAAGAGTTGCACAACTGGGCCTTTCACTGGTGTTTCTCATCCACGCCGCTGGCCCTCCTCAGCTCGCATCTCCTCCCAAGGGAACTCACTGGATCGTCTCCCTGTTCCTGTTGCTCTGAGGAACAACGGGGTGTTCTGTGCGCCTCAAGTCAACTGGCTGTAACTTTCCCAGTCGCTATTCCCCAGCTCTGATGCCCTTGTTACCAAGGCCTGAGCCTGTTTTCAATGGAAATACACAGGAAAAGCAAGAGGCCTGCCAGGGGGACACTACCCCAGGAGAGACTCACCGACCAACTCTTCCAAGCCTGGGACCGAGGTGGCTTCTTTCTTTTTAAACAAAACACAAAATGGCTCCTCTGTCCTCTGGAGGAGAGTGGCTCAGGGACACTTTGCAAAGAGGGACGGGGCTGCTGGGGGGACGGCAGAGGCCAAAGGCAAGAGACAGGCGGGAGATGAGGGTTCCCCGCCCCGCAGTTTGATCTCTGTAGGGGCTCCAGCTAGTTCACTTTCACCCCCCAGCCCGGAGGCGGGCGGCAAATACCGCCCGGGGCTGCAATGAATGCGGTGGGCTTTGCTGGTGTAACCTCAGCTCCCCCGGCTGGGATCTGCGCCTCCGTCCCACCCCAGCCTTCCGCAAGGACCCACTGCAGCCGCCCGAGCCAAGCCCTTCCCTGGGGCGAGCTCCAGTCCAGCCTGAAGCGCTTCCCATCGGCACCGGCCCAAGCCACCTGCCTGCAGCCCGGCCTCCCGTCTCGCTGCCTCGCCGCCGGCGCCAGGGGCTGGGAGTCACCCGCATCCCCCTCTGGAACAGATGAGGCTAAACTTTGCTCTGACTCGGTCCCAGGGGCGCAGCCCGGCCGCAGGGACCCGGGAGCTGCCCTCCCTGTGGGCCCCCTTCCCCGCCCGGGCCAGCGGCGGCCAGAACCTCTCCCCGCCTCCATCGCCAGCCTAGCGCACGGGAAAACTCTGCGCAGCTACAAAACCGGGGCCGGCCCGGCCGGGGCGCCTCGCCGCGGCTCCCGGGGAGCGGGCAAAGGGGGGGGGGATTAGCGCCCGGGCACCCCCCGGCGGGTCCCCGCCCTCTAGCAGGGCCATCCCTGGGGACCCGACAGCTCGGGCCAAGGCGAGCCGAGCCCCGGCCGCTACGGGCTCTGGCCGGCTCGCACCACGGGGTTCACACCCGCCGCGTCTCTGCCAAGCCCCAGCTACGGGCCCCGAGGGGAGCCGCAGGCAGGTGGCGCCGGGCTTGGGGACCCAGAGCCCCGGCCGCACGCAGCCCCCCAATCCCCTCCTGCCGCGGGGTTCACAGCCGGGGTAACCTGGCCACAGCCTGGGGCAGGCGCGGAGCGCACGGCCCCCCCCCCGGCTCGGCCGGTCCCTCCCCGCGCCCCGGGAGCGGTGCGCAGCGGCTCGGTGGCACCCCCGGCTGCGAGCGTCGGAGCGCGGGCTGCACCTGCCATCGCCTGGAGAGCGGCAGAAGCGCAGCCGCCAGGGCGCGGGGAAAGCCCCGGTGCAGCCGGGGCCGTGGCGGGCTGGGGCCGGGCAGCATCTGGCCTCTCCCCCCACCGCCAGCCGGGAAGAGGGAGCCGCAGGCGCAGCGCCCAGCTGAACTCAGCCCGGCTCCACTGCTGCAGGAACCATGGATGGGCTCGTCGGGCCAGGGCGCTGTCCGAGGCCGGGGAGCCGCCCCGCGCCAGCCCCCGGCTCAGCCCCCGGCTCAGCCCCAGCCCGCGGGTCCCGTCCCTGCCCGGCGGCCCCGCCGTGCCAAGCGGACAGTCCGGATCCAGCTCCCGGCTGGCAGGACAGCGGCTGTGCGCGTCTGCTCCGCTCCCCGCGACCTCAGTCCGCCCGCGCCCCTTCCGCCCTGGCGCCCCGGGGTGCGCGCCCCTGCCCCGCCGGATCCCAGCCCAGGCGAGGAGCCCAGCCCCGGCCCGAGGGGGAGCGAGCCCCGGGCAGGCACCAGCGCAGAGCGGTGCCCCGGGCAGCGCGGGGAGCCTGGCCCGGGTCCGGAGAAGCTCCAACCCCAGCGGCCCCCAGACGAAGGAAAGCTCCTGCTCAGAGCCCCCGCCGGGCTGGGCCCGCTCCGCTGCCGGGGGGTGTCCCTGCCCTGGGCTGGGGGGAGAGTCCCCCCCCCCCCCCCCCGGGACTGTGGCGCCTCCCGGAGCGGCGCCCGCGGCTCCCCCCAGCCCGCAATGCAGCGCAGCGCCCGGCCCGGGGAGGGTCGCGTTACCTGGCGCCGCTAGTCGGGGAAGACGGGGCCGGAGCACTGTGCCCGGCAGGTGCAGCTGCGGCGCGGCGGTTCCGGGCTGGCTTCACGGGCTGGCGGCGGGCTGGCGGGTCCCTGCTCCGCCCGGGGCCAGCGCTCCGCTCGCGCATCCTCCGGCAGCAGGCGGCGGCGCCCGCGGGTCCGGCTGGGGGGGTCGCCTCGCCCGGTGCAAAGCGGCGGCTCCGCTCCCGGGGAGCGGGCAGAGGCAGGCGGTGCACAGGCGCGCACGGCGCCAGGCGGGGGGAGACGGGAGGGAGGGAGCGAGCCGCGCGGTCCCCCCAGCGCACACCAGGCAGGGGCGCAGCCCGCCGCCAGCGCCCCTCCGTCGCCCCCACCCCGGACCCCGCAGCCGCGCCCCGCTGACCTTGCAGCGTGTACCTGCGCCAGGGTAATCCGAGCCCCGCCGGGCTTCGCCGAGCCTCCTCGCTCGCTCGCTCCCTTACGCCGCCCCGTGCGCCGGGCAATCCTGCGCTGAGCCCCGCGCTCCGCCTCTGGCCAGCCCGGCTCCGCCGCCCAGCAGCCCCAGCTCAGGCACCGGCCGGAGCGCCGCGGGCCGGGGACGCGCTGCCCATGGCCCCGGCAGGCGGGCGCGCTTCCTGCTCCGGGAGCTACAGCCGAGCTGCGCGGCCGGGCTCCGTCCTCGGGCTTCTCCCGCCAGCTGTCCGCGGCGCAGCCATGCACAGCCCCGCCGAGGGACCGCGAGCCGCCGGGCGCGGCGCTCCGAGAGCCGGGCAGCCTCAGGCGGAGCAGCCGGAGCCCCGGGCGCTGCAGAGGGGCGCAGCTGGCTGCACTGGGTCCTTGCGCGTTTCCTCCACGGCCGCTGCTGGCTCCATCCTGCCCGCGGCGCGCTCCGGCGGCTGCCGCCCGGCCCCCGGGAGCCGCGCCGCTCGCTGCAGCATGAAGCCGGCTTGGCAGCCTGGTGCCAGCCCGAGCCGCCGCCTGCTCCGCAGCGAGAAGAGCGATGGCGCGGCGCGGCCGGGAAAGGCAGCTCCAGCCGCAGCGGGCGGGCGCAGAGCGGCGCCTGGCGCCCACAGCTCCGCTAATCCGGAGACGTGTCTGCGAGCCCCGGAAGCCAAGGGCAGGGGCGCGCTGGGCAGCTCGCCAGCGCCGGCGGGGACAGGGCTAGCGCTGCCCAGCCCGTGCGCGGCGAGCCGGGACCGGGGGAAGCCGGGAGAGCCTGTGAGCAGCGGCTGCGCCCTGGCGCGGGGAGGCGCTGCTGGCGCAGGAGTGGGCAGGGAGGGGGCGTGTCGCTGCGCCCTGCCCGGCCCGGCCGGAGGAACTGGCAGCCGCGGGCAGGGCTAGCCCCGCATCCCTGGGCCGGGCGGAGCGGGGGCGCAGCAGCTCCGCAGGGGTAACAGCGCGGGCTCCGGCAGGTCACTCCCCCGGCCTGGAGAGCTGGCCGGGGACGCCCCCCGCTCCGGGGCTGGCGCGGGGAGTCCCACCCTGGGGCTGGGCAGCGGCTGTGGCCCGAAAGCCGCGCTGGGAGCGGGGGCAGGGGGCCGGCTCTGCCCGGGCGTTGGGGGCGCTAGCTGGGCAGGAGACCGGCAGGGCGCGCCGGGCTTACGGCGCACAGGGGCTGCTCCCCGCCCTCACTTCGGAGCGCACGTGGGTCTCCCCGGGGCACCTGGAGGGACTCGCTCTCCTCTGCCTGCCCTGGGGCCCAGGGGCTGCCGCGGGCTCCGCGGCTCGGGGCCAGCCCCCGTCCCGGGTGCGCTCAGGGGCGGGGAGCAGAGAGGCCGCGGAGGTACCTGCGCCGGCGGTGGGTCCCCCTCCCGGCCCCGCTCGGGGGTGGGGGCTGGGGCGCGCCGAGACGAGGGAGCCAATCAGTTAAGCAGCCTTTGCTCAAAACCGGGGAGGGGGCGAGGCGGAGCCGGAGTGAGCGCGGTGGCGGCGGAGCCGGTGGCTGCGAGGGGCCGTGCGCGCTGGCGCGGGGTCCCGGCGGAGGCTCCTGGCGCAGCGGGCTGGGTCCCTGTGTCTTCACAGCTCTCGGGGCTGGCGGGCAGCAGCCTCGGCTGCCTCTCCGGGGCTCTCTGCTCCTCTCGGGGCAGCCCGCCCAGAGCGCCGCGCCGGGGCTGCCGGAGCCGGGCAGAGGACAGGGCTCTGCGGTCCCGCGAGGAGGTGCCGGTGCCGCTGCCCCCGCCGCGCTGCCCGGGGAGCGGAGAGGGGCCGCTCGCCTGTCCTGGGAAGCCGCCCCCTTGTCTCGGACCCTCCTGGGGCTATGACGTGGATACGGCTGGAAACCGGCGCCTGGGACCTGAGGCAGCTTTCGGGACCGTGGCGGGCGCTGGTGGCTCCGGGCAGACACAGCTGGGGCTCAGGGAGCGGACTTGGAGCCTGGCTTTGGGGATCGTGTCTCACCTTCCGACCGGGCGCTCTCAGGGGGTGTGAGTGTGATGGGCCCGGTGCGCCTCCGTGCCTGGCTCTCCCGCTGCCCCCTGTCCCGCTCCTGCGCCGAGCCCCGGGCCAGGGGCTGCTTTGCATGGCGGAGACAGACCGATCCTGCAGCTGAGCCGCACCAGTGACGCCCATGGCCTAGGCCCTGTGAGCCGGGGGCTCCCGTGTTTGTCCCTTCGGATCCTTTAGAGAAGCTCTGAGCGGAGCTGGAGGAAGCAGGGGGCATGGAAAGGAGTGGCAAGGGCAGACAGGCTGGCTCCCTGGGCTGGGCTGGGCAAGGCAAGGGGACTTCACCAACCACAGAGGTCCCTCAGCAAACCCTGTCCCTCTTCCTGAGGGTGCCCTCTGCCAGCAGGGAGTGGCTGGCTGGGTTGGGAGCAGGGCTCCCGGGGGCGGGGAGTCACACGCTGCTGGGTGTGAATGTCTCACTCCTGCCAGAAGTGACAAGGAGTGTTCCTGGGAGGTGCTGTGAGCTGTGCTGCCAGATTTCTCCTGGGGAGCACAAGGTGTCCAGACAAGCCAGAGGCCTGTGGTTTGGGTTGTGGTAGGGAATCCCATAGACAAAGCACGGGGCTCTGGCACCATTCAGGGGGCTAGAATCTACCCAGTGGAGTGACTCGCTCTCTGTCCCCCATGGCCTAGACGTCAGGGCTGCGGTCCAGGCAAGAGGCTTTGTGCTCATCTCGCCGTCCTCCGGAGTGTGGCACAACAGTGCTGAGGGCAAAGTCCCACCCAGGGGGCCTGGGCGGCTGATTGGGTGAGCAGGATTTCAGTGTGAGGATGTTTCTTGTACTCTGCATCCTGAGGTGAAACCCTGTGCTGGAGCCTACAGAAATCCCAGCTGTAGCTGGCTGCAAATACAGATGCCCCATGGCGAAGATAATGTAATAAGGAGCAGCAATGAGATCGCTACTCCGCCTTGCACCAGCATCAGACCCATAGGTGTTCACATGACAAGGTGTGGGCCAGGTCTGCTGAAGTCACCGGAGGAAGAAATTGCAACCTTCACTAAGATAACTCATGAAGGATGATTTCTTTCTAAATTTAACAGCCTGATTCTGCTGTCCTTAAGCAGGGAACGTGTCCATGGGTATCACAGGCAGGCATGCCTGAGCTCACAAAGGGTCTGGATCTTGCTTTCCAAAAGTGACCGGTGGTTTGCTTGTGCCTTATTTGGATCCACAACTAGAGATGTCTTAAAGTGGCTTTTTTTCCTTCCAGCCCGTGCTGAGCCCCACCCTCTGAAAATCATTCAAGGGGCCGAGTTGCGGACCCAAAATTGCAAATCATGCTTGCCAAGGTAGGCCTCAGTTGTTAGCTGATAACCTAATACAGCAGCAAAGGAGAGTACCACCGACAGCCTCTAGATTCAAACGGCCAGACTTTGTATTGTTCATGGTCTAGCCTTAGTGCCATTCTGGGGGGAGGAAAAAGTAAACACAATTTCAAACTTTAGTGCTTTTGTTGGGGGGTGCACGCTCCCACAGCAGCATCAGGAACATGGAGGGCCCTATCCTGCATTCTTTTCTGACCCAGTCTGCCAGGGCTGGGTCAGGGCCCATCTCTAACAAGTGGATGAGTAAATAAGTAAAGAATTGACAGCAGTAGCTTATGTCTGTTTATGTTGACCTCATTATTTATCCGACAAATGTACCTGTAGAATTAGCTTACAAAGTCACAAGCGTGAGAGGAATGACAAGGAGATATAAAGTGACAACAGTGTAAACACTTCTAGAAATCCATTGCTGACCTGCATGACTGATTAATGTCTGTGCATGTAGTTTGCATAAGCAGGGCATCTTCCTGGGTCACTTTTCTCCATGATTGACAAGTCTGCTCCTCCTAAGGTCTGTCGAATGACCCTCGTAAAGAGCAGAATCGGAGATTCAGAGAGAGGACAATCATCTTAAACTCCTCTCTCTATTAAGACTAATAGGAAAAGTGATGGTTTGGAGTAGGCTCTGAGTTCCGTGGCAACCATCTGATACTTCAGTAACAGTTTCTGGAGCTCTAACCGTTTTGAGTGTGTGTGTGTAGGTTGTATTTAGATTTAATCTCAGCAAACTTTGGAGTAACATTAGTTTGAGCTGCATGGCTGTACCCCTCTTATACTAGGGTGATCAGACAGCAAGTGTGAAAAATCGGGACAGGGGTGGGGGGTAATAGGAGCCTATATAAGAAAAAGACCCAAAAATCGGGACTGTCCCTATAAAATCGGGACATCTGGTCACCCTAAGTCTAGCAAGTAGTTGTACTTTAGTCTTGGCAGAATTCATCACTGTTAGACTTCCATAGCTCGGCTCTAAACAAAGTAAGCGTAAAACTTTGTAGGGTTGTATCTGACAAAGTGACTTTAATTGTAGAAAAATGTAAAAATATTTATTTCTAAGTGGTTTTATCTGTGCTGACTCTTAAATGATGCATGCTTCAGCATTATGAGAACTAAACAGAAAACACACACACACACACACACACACACACACACACACACACACACCAGCAATAGTCTCCTGAAAACACCAACATCTTTTCCTCCCCATACTGTGTTGCTAGACTCGGGAAAACGGACAGTTCTTTCTCCAGACATTTTAAGTGAAAACCTAAAACTTGTGGCTGAAAACAACCACAGAACTCTGTTTGATAGTGATTTTTTTTAGTGGAAATAGACACCATGTGCAAAAAGTTTTGTTTCCTCAAAAGCACCATTTCCCCTCCGGGGTGTGTGAGATCTTTCCCCAGCCTCGCACTCACAACACCTACTCCCCTCTTGGTGCCGCTTAAGGGCCAAGGGCACACCCTGGGCCTGCCCGGGGCAGGGCAGGACCTTGACCTGCTCCCCAGATCTGAGAAGAGGGATGGGAGAGGGGCGATTGCTGCTGTAGGGGCAGGGGGCAGTAGCTCCCCAGCCGTGGCAGAGTGCTCCATGGAGGGAAGAGGAGAACTCCCCAGAAGTGGAGGGCAGAGGCAGGCCCTGGTCTATGCAGCTGCTCTGACTGGCTTCGTTTCCCCAGCTGGAGGGATTTCTTGTGGGGGAGTGGG